GGGTTCTTGCAGGTGTGGATGTGGTCTGGATGTTGTCCTGTGTCCTGTGGTCTCTATTTTAGGAAGATTTTTCTTTGTTATATTTTCATAGCTCTATGTGTTTTTGGGAGGAGATTTCCACTGCTCTACTCACGCCGCCATCCTGGCTCCGCCTCAATTTTTTCATTCTTTTAATTAAGTAAGTGCAGAAGCTATATGTATACCAGATGGTTCTCATCCAAAGGTGTGCATCAGAATCATTACAGCACTTTTGAGTCTCACACCCCTTCTCAGACCTGCTGTTTCAGAATCTCAAGAGGTACAGGACTGAGTATTTTTACAAAGCTCTCCAAGTGACTCTGATGCACATTCCTTCTAACGACCATAGATATTAACAAATAACTGCAATGAGATATAAGCACCTTAAAGATGGTATGAACAGACATACCACAGAAGGAAGAAAAGCTAACTACAAAGAGAAGTCTGACAGAACTAATGACATTTGAGCTAGAATGTGCAGTTCCCCACATAGAGGGTAAGAGTGATGAACATACAAATCATTATTGAAAGACTAAAGCTGTCACAATCTAGTGAGCTATTAAAATAATCAATTAGTGTTGGCTTAGATACAATAATAAGAAATGTGTGCCCACTTTACTATAGATACCTGAATATCTATTTGCTGCTGTTGTAATTTTTCAAGATGCCTAATATGCTGCTCCATAAACACATTCATTTGCTTTTCATGATCATGACAATGTTGTTTCTCATGTTTATTCTGAATGCTTGTTTGCTGCTCTTTAACACATTGTAAATGTTTGTCAGTCTCCTGTAACTTATTGAGTAATTCTGTAACAGAGTTGACTTTTGCTTCCAAATCATTCTGCACCTAAACAATAAAAATATCAAATATATAAAAAATATGCTCAATTACTAGAAAAGTTATTTAACTAGATTGGTATTGAGAAATAACCAAACAAGATTTTTATCTTCTAAATCTCTGGTGATTTTATGCTCTATTTTTGAACTGCAGAAATAAAAGGTAGAAGATAGCTATCCTTAAGTAGACCTTTACTCTCATAAAAAAAAAATTGCCACACAGAATTTTTAAAATGCCAGAAATACAATACTTAAATAGAAATTTGAAAAACGGAAATAGCAAAAGAAAGTAGCTTTTGACACTTCACTAATCTCAGGCTGAGGTAGGTCCAGAGCCTGGATTCTAGTCTCAGCTCTACCCCCTAGTAGCTCTGGGAGCTTGTGCCTACTCCATTCCTAGCTTCTCCCTAGATAACATGTTGCACACTCAATTTTAGTTGTGCATGTAGTACTCACTAAAACTTTACTTTGTATGCCCATAATCATTCCAATAAAAATACTATCTTGAACTACATGAAAAACTCAAAACAAGCTCCATTGAGAAGTCTAAAATTACAACATGCTAGTTTCACTTTGTGATAGTATGCTGAGCTATAATAAACTTATTGTTGTATATTCTTCTGAATGTCCTACTTTAACTGAATTTTTTAAAGTTTTAAAGTGGTACATTAATTAGAAAAAAAGTAAATTAAAACGAAGTTGTGCCTACTCCGACATGTTTCTCAGTTTCCCATTTACAAACCAAGGGGATTGGCAAAGATGATCTCCCCATTCTCTTCCAGCTCTAAAGTAAGGATAATCAATCGCCCTGGGGTTGCCTAGGACTAAGGGGTTCCCAAGATGAGATACTGTCAGTGCTAGAACTGGCCAAGCCCTGGGTTCTCTAGCATTACTGCAGAAGCAAAGGGGTAAGTCACACAACTCTTGAGAGGTAACACACAATCACAAACAGGAAAATTCTTTCAAACTGAGAGCAATTAGAACCCTACAGCTGGACACAACCATTTATAGAATCAGTTCCTAATAAATATTTCTACATTTTACAAAGTAGTCATAAGTATCCTGGGAGAAAAGTATACTTTTATCAGTGGAGCCGCTGTCGCAATGGCAGCAGCAGTTGCCGCAGCCACAGTTGTAGCCGAATCGATTCCACTGGGTGGCGTTCTAGCCTCCTGAGGAACAGTGGCCTTTTCCACGCCTGTATCTTCCAAAAGCTGTACCTTTACTTCCTTAAGAACAGGCATACTTTGAGCTCTGCAGATAAAAAGGGAAACCACACTGAACCATATCAAGAAATACCATTTCAAGATTCAAGTAGTAATCTACTGAAGGTGGGTTTTCTTGATTTTTTAAAAAATTAAATCACCTAGTTTTCTCTATCAGCATCTTATTAGTCTTGTGGCTAATGAAATCAATAAAAGCTCAGGTCACTAAACACAAAAGAAATAAGATAAACTAATTCCTGAAGGCAGATATTTCAGAAATAAGATACATAGAAAAGGTCATGGGCACAATCACAAAGATACGTGATTGAAAGGTACAAATTTAAAACATGCAGAAAAAGCTCTAAGAACTCAGGTACCAAGTTTTACTCCGAAGACAATCCAAGAGAGATTGTTAAAAACTGCTAAAAGAATTTTTTAAATTCTAGCTCACTTAGATTTAACTAATAAATGTCACACAGTTATTTAAAATGGGCACAAAATACACTATTAAGCAGCCTGAATGTAAGTCTAGCAAATAGAATACATATTTGCAATAAGGCATTTAATTAAACACTAAAAAAGAGGGAGAAAAAAAAAAGACTGATCAATTTTCTTTTACATTTGGCCTAAAGGAAAACAATGAAAGGAAGCACTGACAAAACTTAGGAGTCCCTAGATAAGTCTAAGTAAAATCGGCAGGAAAGTGCTCCATCTCCAGCTGCTGGATATCCCTCCTTGATTTTTAAAGAGAGCAAAGAGCAGCTCTTAAACTTACTCCTCTATGGTACATCCTCATTTCTACTATGAGCATCATTTTTCTCTGCCTCAAAATTTTGAAGTTATCTTGACTTCTCTATCCTGTACTTCTCTTCTCATACCCAAGTAAGTCATCAAGTTTTGTCAATTATTTCATCATTAACTGCAGGATTAGTGTCATAGAATTATAGAGGCAGGGGGAACCCAATAGGCCATCTAATTTCCTAATTTTACAGATGAAGAAGCTGAGGTCACAGGATTTACCTGATCAAAGTCACAGAACTAGTAAGTGGCAGAGTTAGGTTAGGGTCTGGTTTCCACACACCTTGTTTTCTCTCTCAGAACACTTCTTCCTTCATAATTCTCCCTCTACAGGAAGAAATTTCTCTTGCCAATGATTTCATTCTTTCAGTTTTTACGTGCTTAAAAATTCCACACATATATTTCTCCACCATTTAAAAATCTAAAATTGCTCTTTACAGACAATTAAATAGGCTACTTTCTTCTGTCTGGCCTTCCAGACAGTCCATCCTCTGGCTCTGCCCTAGCTTCCTATACATACCCCATTTCTTGGCCAAACAACCTTCCTCTGGGGTTACTCACTGACTACACCACACCACTCCCATAGCTGACTCCATGTTTCTTCTCACTGTGTTCTCTCAACCTTCTTCCACCCGATTTACTATATCCTTCTTCTCCTCCTTTGAGATCCAGGGCAAGCCTTATCTTTTTCAATAAGCTTGTCCTATAACACTTCTTGATTGCTTCCTTCATTAATTCCTTTGCATTTACTAGCTATGCCACACAATTGAGGCTTGATAATCAGCCACTCTGGTTTAAATGTCTGTATTGAACAGTTTAAAAGTACAGTGGATGCAGTGCTGTTTCCTATCACAGTTGTAATCATTCATTTCTCCACATACGTACATTTTCTCTCCCCAACCAAGTTCTAAGCAACCTGGGGAGGGGAATGGTGACGGAGGAAGGGGACGACTTTTATACCACACAGCATCAAAGAAAGAACTAAGCACATAGTAGGTCCTCAATATATATTTAACTGAGTGGTACACTAAGAAAATAAAATAAAGATATTCCATCTTTTAGTATTCCTGTCTGAAGTCTAAATGTGACTTACCTTTTATGAGCTCTCACACATTAATACATTAAATTGACCAGCAAGAGAGAGAACACTATAATCTAGATGTCAACTTCTTTATAGGTTTTTAAATTCTGTTTTTTCCAATTATCAAATTAATAAAGGCTCAATGTAGCAAATATAAACAGCTTCTAAAGTGTAAAGAACTGGAAAAATGCATACCACTGGCCTATTCAGAAGAAATTATTTTCTCTGGTCCTTTTTTTTAGAACTTCCTTTATTCCTAAATTCTCTGAATCTGGCATCTTTCCCAGTACTAAGATGAAAATGCTGTCAACAAGGCCACTAATAATTCTTCATGCTCAATCAATGGATGCTTTCCAGTCCTTAGGTTTCTTCACCTCTGGGAAGCATATCAAACTTAGAACGACATTCCCCTTGGCCTTGTTAACACCATACTCTCTTACATCTCTGGATTAACTTCCCATGTAGCACTTAGAAGCTAGCCTCTCTTCTCTGCATATCTCTCAGAAGTTGGTTTTCTCAGAGTTCTACCCTATGTCATCTTTTCATTCTTACACCCTCACTCAGTCACTTCAACCACTTCTGAACTTAGACTACCAAGTACAAACTGATAACTTCTACATCTGAATTTCTAGCTTTGACACCCGTTTGTGAATCTGACCTTTATATTCAATTTCCTATTGGACATTTTTTACCTGGATATCTCATGAATACTTTAAAACCCACATCCTTGTCCAAAATGAAATTTATTCTCCCAAGGATTCTTTATCTCAAATGCTACTACTGACCATGCCAAAAATCTGAAATTCATCCGTAGCTCCTTCCTCACTCACATCTAATCATCAGTTCCTGCCAATTCCATCTCCCAAATCATATTCCAAATCTGTCTACTCCTCTCCACCCCAGCATGATTCCTGCCCTCATCACAACAGAACCCAATGTATTCAGGACCAAAATAATCTGTCTCTCAAAGAGATCCCTGAAAAATCTGTAGCCAACTGGTTTCCTGGAATGCAGACCAGTCCTCTTCCAGTCCATTTTTTTTTAATATTGATATCTGAGTAAGCTTTTAAGAAATGATTTGCCATTTCTCTTAAAGCCCAAACTCCTTTAAAGAAGTTCTCCTTACTTCTCCAACCACATGTAAGGATATTCTACCCTTGCTCTAGACACTCTGTAGAGCCAGACTCTTCATTCCACAAAGGCTCCAGCCTTTACTACCTTTTATTATTACAGCTTTAGAGAATATTATAATATCAAATGTGGTAAATTCCCCATCATTTTGTTTTTGTTATTCCAAAAGTAGCTATTTTCAACTGTGTGTATTATGTATGCATATATTCTTAATGGTATGTACATATATTCTTAATTGTATATCCTTCCAGGTAAATTTTAGAATATTTTGCCAAATTCCATCCACCATTTCCCCAAAAAATAAATTTCACGTGACACTGACTTGCAATCTGTATCTTGAGACTTAATCAAACTGTCTTTTAACCCAACATGAAAGTCATTTTTATAGTTCTGATTCAAGTATTATTCTCTACATTGCAATTACCTTCTCAGAAGCCCATTTTTATTTTAAATTCTGTTAATTCATCCTGAAATAGGGAGATAGCACCTGTCAATAGGCAAGAGGGGTAGTGTTCACAATTACCTCTCACTGTCCACCTGTTTGTGAACATCATCTCTCTCTCAGATCATAAATTCTAAGAGGTCTGAGAGATTTCAGTTTGGAGAGTTTTGACTTGAAGGCAAATTGATAAAGTCCCTATTGTGGCTGCAAGCAGTCACTTCTACTGTGGGTCAGCTGGACAGAAGTGGTAATCACTTTCTGTCCAAATAAGTCAGATATAATCTGCAATTTTTTGGTTCAAGTGTGGAATCTGAGGGACTGCACCACCCCTCATATCCTTATCTTTGCTTTTTCTTAATATATTTACAAAAATATATTTACAATTTACAAGGATCCAATTTACCATCCAAATTCTTCTCCCAACCACCATATCACATACTGAGAATTGAAGGCTGACCAAATGTGAAGAGGAAAGAAATGATAATAAGGACAAACAACCAGTTGTGAAACTCTGGCTGGCTCAGGTCACACCCTTCTGGTTTGGAGAAAATATTTTTGTTAGGCCAGTGTTTCCCAGAGCATAATATGTATCCATGGATTACTTTAGGTGGGAAAATAAACTTTTTTATTTTAATAGCATTACTAGAAATACTAATTTTCTGCTTACAGAAGTAATATATCAGTAAAAAAATTAAAAAATAAATTTAAAAGAGAATATAAAATTTCTTTTTTTAATAAAATGAAAGTTCAAATGTAAGTACGAATTTTTCCTACGTTCTAAGGAGCCTCCCAGGTTGCTCTGGCTCAGAAGTAGAATACATTTAGCTTAAGAGTAAGTATCTGTTTCCAATCCCAGTAATAATAAAAATACTAAAAATTGACTCCAGCATAGCAATGTATTCTTTCATGTTCATCACGATGCTATTGTCTGGGTTGGTTTTGTACTTCACTGATATTTAAGATAAAGTTGGTAGGAAGCATTTAGATGTAGCAGTAGCCATCCACTCAAATGCTAAACTTGTCCCTTTCTCAAATATTGACCAGCAAAAGTCTAAATGTCCCCTGAGGGTAAACAAGAAGTATTACACATTTGGAACTACTTGACTACTACTACAAGTAATGTAGTGACATGATTAAGAGAGCAGCCTTTAAAAGCTGACTGCCTGAGTCTGAATCCCAGCCCAGTGAATACTTGCTAAATGACCTTGGTAAAGATCAATTTCTCTGTGTCTCAGTTTCCTCCTCTATAAAATGGGGATTCTGTAAAATTGGGAGAATAGAATCTATTTCATTGGTTTACTGTGAATATTTAGTGAGTTAATGCATATAAAGTGCTTAAAACAGTACCTGTTCTATAATAATAATTGACAGCTATTGAGTTTTTTATATGTGCCCAGTACCATGAAAATGCTTTATACATATTATCACATAATATATACTTCACACATTGAGAAGAAAGTTTTTCCTATGTCCAAAGTATAAATGAAGCTGATTTTAGAAACCCATATAGAAACAAAAGAAATGGCCTACCTATTTTCTATAAAGAAACTTACTTTTGCTTTAAAACTGCTCTTAGAGCATCTTTCTCTCCTACAGTGTACTGAGAAATAAAGATGTCATTTGCTGCAAAATCAAGACATAAAAATATATTTCAGATTCCTGAAAATATATCAAATATTAACAAGCTATTCAAAAAAACTGTTTTAACTAAAAGACTGTGTAGGAATTTAGCATAGGATTTCTCATTAAAAATAGACAAGGAACAAATTAAGTGACTGAGTAATACTAGCCATAACCCTAGATCTAAGGCAAAAAAACATTGTATCTAAAACATCTGGGGCCAAATGGGAGACATTTGCTCCAACTCTAAAGAGAAAACTTGTTAAATGAAAATTTAAAAACACTGTTCACTTAAAAAATGTCATTAAATAAATTTTTTCAATGCATGTTTTTTTTAAATAATGTCTTTACACTTTAACTGGTAACAAGTCTTTCTTTTAATTGAAGTATTGTTGATATACAATCTTATATTGGTTTCAAGTATACAACACAGTGGTTCAACAGTTACTCATGTTATTAAATTCTCACCCTCACTAGTACGGTTACTATCTGTCAACACAGGAAGATGTACAGAATCATTGGCTGTATTCTCCATGCTGTACTATCATCCCTGTAGCCAACTTATATTATGACTGAGAATTTTTGTGCCCTTTTATTCCCCTTATCCTCACAACCCCTCATCCATGGTAACCACCAGTCACTTCTCAGTGTCTATGAGTCTACTGCTATTTTGTTCATTTTGTTTTGTTTTTATATCCCACAAATAAGTGAAATCACATGGTATTTGTCTTTCTCCGCCTAACCATTTCACTGAGTGTAATACCCTCTAGATCCATCCAGGTTGTTGCAAATGACAGGGGTTTTTTTTTATGCCTGAATAATATTCCATTGTGTATACGTACCCATCTTTATCCATTCATCTACTGATGGGCACTTTGGTTGTTCTTACCAGGGACTATTCAATCCTTGAATTCAGAATTTGTAAGCAAGTATCTAATGCCAAATTTATGCATTGGTAATGATAATATGATCTTTACCATTTTTCAAAGTTCTAGATTTTAGAGATTCCATTAGTAGTTTAATTTGGAAGGAAAAACCAATTAAAAATGAAAATACAAAAAAACCCATAAGGTTGTTTAATGAATGAATGTCAAAAAAAATCAATGTCTAAAAATCTAAAGTCCTATTCTTATGAAAGAAACTCTGATATATGACAACATAGATGAACAAAGAGCTGCTAAGTGAAATAAGTCAATTACAAAAAGACTAACATTGGATCATTCCATACATATGAAGTATAGTGAAATTCATAGAGATGTAAGGTAGAATGGTCTAGAGGGAGCAGGTAATGGAGACTGTTTAATTAGTACAGAGTTTCAGTTAGAAGATGAAAAGGTTCTGGAGATGGTTAGTAGTGATGGCTACAAAAGGTCAAAGTACCTAATGCCACAGAACTGTATACTTAAACATAGTAAAAATAGTAGGTTTTATATTATGCATATTTACCACACACAAAAAAATCAAATCTCTCCTTTTACCTTTTATTGTGTTGCTCTCTTCTATTTTATCCAAAGGCAACCCTTGTACTGCAACATCTTCAGAAAAATCCTTTGGCATATGAAAGGTTAAATAAACTTTTTGATTTTTTTTCCTTATCAAGTACCACTTACTAGCTATGTGACTGAAATCCAGGAAGGCAGAACTGTATGCTTTTATATACTTAATTCCCAATACCACCACCAATGCCTAGATACTTTGAAGCTACTCGAGGATTTGTTGAATGAGTAATGAGCAGTCAGACAAGTTAATGAGTAAATGAACAAGCAAGCAACTGTGACCCTGAAATTTAGACCCAAATCCAAATTTGCCACTTCTAGCAGAGCAAGGCATGTAATAGCTCAGTTGCTACAGTTAAATGTGAACATCTGATTCACACGAATCAAACAGAGTTCATAAGGATGGCCAACACACAGCACAACATAACGAATTAATCACAGCATTCTTTGTCACTGAGCTCATGTGTTCTCAGAAGACTTCTCTGTATTGCTGACAACTACTGGCAAATAGCTTTCTGCTCACATGTGTAATCACAGACTTCATCTTTAAGATTCTATTCTAGCGCTAAGACACTATGACTTTTTAAGTACTAAGTTCATTCAACATTGCTCTTCACTTTCCTTAGGCACACCTTTTTTGTTTTCTACTAAATCAGAAAAGGGAAAAGAGAACATCATAAAAAGAAACTGATCCAGGCTATATAATGACAACAGGTTTTAACTTCCTAAAAATAGCCAGAGACTAAAAATACAGTAGAATGCATCTGGGAAATTAATATAAAAAACTCGAATCAGTAAGAAAAAGCACAGCACATAAATACATAATTCACAAAAGAATGAATACAGTGGCAATATACATTAAAAAATTTCTTCTTCACTAATAATAAATACAAAATAAAATATGAGATGCCTTTTTAACCCATCAAAATGGCAACAATTTTGTTTGTGTGTGTTTTATGCCATATTGATAAAGGTGGGAGAAAGTGTGTTTAATTTTTGTCCTCCATATTGGTAAAGATGGGAGAAAGTCAGTCCACTGATGATCTTGCTGGAGAGAATATATATTAATACATATATGCATAATTTATATTAATTTGCCAAAATTTCTGGAGGCAACTTAGCAACATTTCAAAAAGTGTGTATATCCATTGATCTAATAATTTTACACCCAGTAATTAATCCAAAGGAAATGACCTAGCATATACACCAGAATGTTCATCACATGGTTGTTTATATTACCAAAAATTAAGTGGGACACAAATCTTAATGTCAAATGACAAGAATGTGAACAAATAAATAATACATACATACACTAAAATCCTGTGAACCCATTAAAACTTTCCAGAAAAAAAATCAATGATACAGAAAAATATCCTTAATACCACTTAGTTATAAAACAGTATGATCTCATTTCATAAAATATATACACGCACAGAAAAAAAAACCTCAAAATGTTAACAGTTGGTGATTTCAGTTGTGGAATTTATCTTTCCCTTTTTCTCGTTTCTACTATGAATTTTTTTTCTGAGTTTTTGTTTTCTTTCTACACATGTGTAGGGATTGACCCAAATAGGGAAATGGACATCTCATCTTCTGGTCATAGGGAGAAACAGGTATGAATAGGAGCAGATATAAATAAGCTTATAAATGTGAGCATATGGGGCACAAATTCCTTTGGTTTTCTCATTAAAATAGCATGGTCAACTCAAACTACACTGTAATCTTAGCACTCATTTATGAAACAAAAACATGATACAAAGTAATATAGTTTATGTTCATCATAAAATGATATTGAACTAGGTTTGCTTTGTAGACATGTTTTATATTAGACAAATAAACAGAAAAAAAACCAAGCTGTGAACCCATATTAAATCTAATGGAATATTGCCTGATAATTTTTCAAAGACGACCCATTTCTCTTTAATTATACAGTAACAGCATATCCATATATCTAGAAAATTATTGAGGTAATGGAATTAAAATACCATTACTCATTAAATAAGGCCTGCTCAAAAAGGAAACAAAAACACTAACGTAAAGGCTAGGTATTTACTCAGGGACCAAGTACAGCACATAAAAAGTTACACATAATGACTGTGAGCGCTTGACAGTTAAAAAGTAAATAGTTTCAATTTCATCCTTAGTTTTCCACCTTCAACGTTCAAATATTATATTGTGAAACTCTCTAAAGACTTGTTGACAGCATATATGTAGGTCAATATTATGATTGGCTGTCAAAGTTTAATTAGATTGCATGACCAGAACATTACATTTATCATCAAATACTTTCAGCATTACAAAAAAAAAGGTTAGGATGAGAATTCCATGTTTTCTTAAAGACACCTCAAGAAAAACACACAAAAGACCTAGCAAGAGTTTGAACTATACATAATCACATCTTTTTTTTTTTTTAGTTATGTTGGTGTTACTGTTCCTTTACTTTTAGGGATGGTTTCGGATGGTATGCTAAGTTTCTGGTCTAGAATACTTTTCCTTAGACAATAGCAGAGCTTCTTTACAGTTACAATGTTTCTCTCAGTGGTCATTATCTTACTAATGAATATTTTTGATTTTCTGAAAGGCCTTTTGTTTAATGTCTCAAACACTATCAAGTCACAATTGTATGTAAAACATTTCTTTTTGGCAAGTGAAATTTAAATAAAAACAAGGCCTGTTGCTAATCAAACCTAATTTAAGAACACATTATTCAACAATATTTAAATTTTTAAATGAGTATAATTAAGAATCCTTTTGCTTACCCTTTCTGACACACTGGGACTTTCTATTAGAGTCTGTTGATAATTTCTAGCAGAAGTCAAGTCTGATGAACCAAACAAAACAAAGGAATCAATTTTAGTGATTGTTAAATTAGAACCTTACCTTTAGAAACTGTACAGGAATTATTCAATAATTATAAATCCCATGTTAATGCAAAACCTAAACTGGAAGCCACTTATCATGCAAAAACTAAAAATGTAATTAAATATATCCCGGCGAAAGGCGAAGGATTTTACAGCTGATACCTTGGAAAATAAGGGTCAGTACTGACAATCAAATTAGATAAATATAACATTTAAAAATATATTACATTGTTGCATTGGACAAACTATGGGTAGAATCATTTGCCAAGATTATGTACATGATATAAAAACCTGATTTAACAGAAGTGAAAGCTAGTTGAAAACTATTCATAATCACGAACCACGTAACGTTCCATTCAAGCTAGTCCCGGTTCTAACAGGCCGTTTTACAGACAACGCTGGAGGAACACAAGGCAACTCACCTTTCAGCAAAGCCAAATTATCTCCCTGTTTTGGAGAAACTATCTCACGAAGTCTTCTCGCTGGTATTTTAATCTTTTTTTTCTTTTCCGGGCTAAGCTCAGAGCCTTTCATATTATTGGTAAGCAGTCCCCCAGTTATAAATAGAAGAACTGTCTTCTGGAAGAATACTTGAGAACAAAATTTTCACCGCTTTGAGGATTTGGGTGGGGAAGAGAAGAACCTAGGGAGAAGTATGGTAAAGACAATGTGAGAATTTTAAGATTCCGAACATGCAGTCATCAACTTTAAAATAAAACCACGCCTAAACAGACTATCCACAAGGCTAGAAATTGCAATTTGGTGCTTAGTCCAGGATGAGAGAAGGCTAGAACATCATATTTACCCACTAGTCCCACCCAGCCTGTAATGCACCAGGACAATATATCTGGAAGTAGGTGACAAGAGAATGGCCGCAAGACCAACAATAACCGTAACAATACAGAGGACTCCCCAATCTGAGAACTAGCAGTGCAAAACCAAATAGAAGTGGAGGCGCGTTAAGATTCGTCGAGAAACTGAGTACAGCAAGTAAAACTGAAATGTTATTTTTAAAAAGAAATTACCCACATATGAAGCTTAATAGCTTTCTTCAGCCAGTCTTCTACATCCCTTAAAGTGCAACCGTCTGACTTCTAAATTTACACCTCCGCGTCTGACCACCGGGTAACTCAGCTGCAGGGATAATCTGACAACAGTTCCCGGCCAATCCACACCCACATACCTTTAAGCCCGCCCTTGACACACAACACGCACGCGCGCCAGGAAAATCGTCCAAAGCGTCCAACCAAAAAGCTAAATGCTCTCCGGTGTTCCTCTATTCCTCGCCGGGTGGAAACAAACTCCAAACCCAAAAGGCTTAAAACATGAATTGTTTTTTAAAGGCAGTATATTGCCTCACAATACTTAAACATGGAATAAAGCCTGAGTCTCGCTGATGGCCGGCAGAGCTCCCACCCTAAACTGGTAATACCCCTCGTATTAGGGACTGCTTACAGTGCTGCGCCTGGAGACCGTTAAGGACGCGGGATTAAGTAAATTTGTTTTACAAAAAGATTCCACAGATTCTGGTTATTATTAGAGAGCAAGCCAGTAACAGAGAGCATTGCCTAAGCAGACATTCACAAAAATTAATTTTTAGGGGATTTTAGAATTCGCTGATGATATCTGCTTTTTCCTGTGGCTTTTCCCGCATTATAACGAATCCCCATCGCAGAACCTGAGGGCTATTTGACATCGCCTTTCCCACGTGTTCTCTTCCATCCAGAAGCTGCGGCGCCAGCACTGACCCCGGCCCTCCAACCCCAGACTCGTCTGGCCTTGCAGCACCCCCAGACTCGCACTGGTGTCGGATGCGAGAGGCTCTGCTTAAGTATGGTCTCTTTTCTCTGCCCCCCGAATCCCAGGTTCCCGGGCGGGGGCGGCAGGCGGCAGGAGGCAGGCTACGCTTCGGAAAGCTGGCGGGGTCTCGGAGGAGGCCGCCGAGTGTACGTGGGGCTGTGGGAGGCTGCGGAGCCGGGCTTCCATTGCGGGTTTGGGACTGGAGCGACGGTCGGAAGTTGAGGCTCTGAACCACCCCCAACCTGAGTTGGGGGAGTTGGGGTTTTATGTGGGGACAGTGAATTAGACTGTAAAGCATCCACGCCGTGACCTTGAGTTGACAGGCAGGAGACTTTAACTGAAAAAAAAAATCCTCTCTAAACAGAATACCAAGGCCGCCAACCCTTACCTGATATGCTTATTTTCGAGAACGCACTAAGACGTTTCCCTTTACGAATTACTTGAGGCTTAAAAAAAGAATAAGTAAAGCAAAAAATGCAATATGATATAAGAGCTAAATAAAGTTTATTTTTACATCCAGCTGTCAGCTTTTATAGAAAAATTGAAAAGGACCTTATGGGCTCAGCTTTGGAGAACCTTTTAATTATTCTTTGCATCTTGATGGATTTCTGTAATCACTATTTCTTATTTCAGTTACATTTCCCTCTTCATTATTGGGCTCTGAGGTAGTACCTGTTTGCTTACAATTTGTTTCACAATTCAGATCAATTAAAATATAGGATGTCACAGCTCTAAGAGACTTTGGAGATGATTTAACTCCCTTGTAGGTGAAACTTAGATGTGAAAGAAAAAGTGACCTTTCCCTTCTAGTTTCCAAGGTGTGAGCATGAGCATAGAAACTTATTAAAATGACTTGAATAAGTCATTTGATCTTAGAACCTTTTTTTTTTTTTATCTAACATTAGAGCTGGAACTAAAACCAAAGTAGTCTTGCCTCTATGTAGTCCAGTGTTCATAGGCTCACCCTGTAGGCCTTGAAGCTATGTTTTTTAAACCCAAAAGCAGTATATAGTAATCTTTCAAAAGTATTTTTTGCTCTGATTAGTAGGATGATGAATGAGGGTTACCAGTTGCTCAGACACAACTTACTAAACCTGCTGCAAATAACCTAAAGTGAAAGTAAAAGGATGTGTTAGAACCCCATTTTATATCAGTCAAACAAGTTAATTCAGAGCTGGAGCTAAATCAAAATTTCTGGGAATTGTTTGTCCTGTATGTTCCAACTAAACATACTACCTGGAAATATAAGGATATTAAGTATTTTTAATACATATAACAACATATATGCAAAAAACTTTAACTTCAGAATAGAGTAAGGAAATTAAAAAACTTTTTTAAAAGTGATTTAACCACAGAAATTTAGATTTCATCAAATAGACTTAGGACTTGAAGGGGTCTCAGCAGTCATACTGTAATCCCCTCATTTTTCAGGTAAGAAAGCAGGCCTTACTGGAGACAATTCAAGCAAAACTTGGACAACTATTTTTCCAGAACAGAAAGGAAACTCATGCATCAGAAAAGGTTTGAGCTGATGACTGATAAGATCTCTTTTTACTTTTAAGTTCCCTGGTTTTGTGATGTTGTTTGGCACAAAAATAACTTAGCATTGCTGTAGTCACTACCAAAACTTTAGCCAGAGATTTTAGAACTCTTTATCACTTCTCTCCCTCTTCAGGTTTCAGGGATATAACCATCAGGTAACCGCTTATTGGAATGGATATAGCCTCTACAATGAGCATTCACTGTAATATCTGAAAACTAGTACCAAATAAAAGGGCAGCCACTTTGCTTCTTCCTGTTCTCATTCAGGTGGTTTGTGTGGCTGTTAAACTTTGTCAGTCAGCATAACTCACGATTAAATAACTGCAGAATATAATGGTGAAAGATTTAGAAAACTCCAAACTAACAAATTTGGAAACCATTAATTCACTCAATCATCTCCAATATTTTCTAGGAACAACTGCCTACAATTAGGTATACCATAATCTTGATATTGGTGACTACAGAGAAGAGCTTTGGAGATTTAGGCAGACTTAAGAAAATTGCTGACTGTTAGCTCTTGAGTTCACCTGTGGTCTGGGAAGCTACTTGAAAAAAATATACATATAATTGAATGATTCTAGAGAAAAGAAAATGATAATGTTAACATAGTGGTCTCTGAGTAGCAGAACTATTTCTCTTTTGTCCTCCAAGTTCTCAAGAAATAGATTATATTATTTTTATAATATCAAAACCTTTATTTCAAAATAAAGGCTGTACATACTGTTAAGGACTGTACACCAGAAGACAATACCAAAAGAATAATTTTAAATAAAATTCATAACAACAGCTTTGGGGCACTCCTCACCTATGTCTTATTAAAGACTTCCCAACAACAACCATCATTTACCACCATGAGTTGTATACTAAGGGAGAAGTGGGGTAGAGTCAGCTTGTTACCAGTCTCTGAAACTTGCACATTTAGATTTCATACTTTCTATCTCTAACCTCTGGTTGAAAAGTCATATGAAGTTTATCCTGAAGAAATAAAAGGATAGGAATAGGAAAAAGAATGGGATTTTGACATTACAATTAGTAAATGTACATATATAAGGTTTTATAAGTAAGAAGATAAGATGTGTTTTCTTTTTTGGTGCAAGCTGTATAAAGTCTAGCTTGCTGCATGCCCTCCTGAAGTAAAGCCTGTGTACTGTACAATTCAACGATTCAAAGGCTCAGGGTCTTAGGACCCTTTGTACTTTAAGCTAGAGACCTGCTGGTAAACCAGTTCCTTAATGCATTTTATTGCCTTTGTATTTTTTTTTTAAGTTCCCACAAACAGTGGTTTCATTTAGCACCTATTTCCACAAAAGTTACATTATTTGGTTCTTTGCAAGCTGTTTTCTGAGTGGGAAGCCTAAAGAACTCTAGTTGTGAACTTTGCTAACATTTACCACATTACATATTGTATCTTGTTCTTTGGCAGGATGAGAAAGCTGGACAACCTGATTTTCTTTTTTACTAAACTTTATTTTGAGATTATTGATTTACATGCAACTGGAAGAAAAAATGGAGACCTCTTGTGCCCTTACCCAGTTTTCCACAATGGTAACATCTTACAAAACTATAGTACAATATCACAACCAGGATACTGATACAGTCAAGACCACATTTCCATTACAAAAGTCTCTCATGTTGTTGCCTTTTTATAGCAACACCTACTTCCCTTCTACTCCTAGCCTCTCCTTAAATCCTGACAACCACTAATGTTTTCCATTTCATTAATTTTGTCTTTTCATGAATGTTATATAAATGGAATCATATACTACATAACCTTTGGTATTGGCTTTTTTCATTCAGCATAATTCTCTAGCAATTCATCCAGGCTGCTGCATGTATCATTACCGATTCGTTTTTTATTGCTAAGTAGTATTCTGTGGTATTGGTAGACCAGTTTCTTTAACCATTCACCCATTGAAGAATGTTTTAGTTAAACATTCATATACAGGTTTTTGTGTAACATAAATTTTCATTTCTCTCTGATAAATGTCCAGGAGTGCAATTGCTGGGCCATGTGTTATCTGTATGCTGTATTTTTTAAGACACTGCCAACTTAACCAACATGACTATACAATTTTACATTACCACTAAAGTATTTGAGTGATCCAGTTTTTCCATTTCCATCCCAGCATTTGATGGTGTTACTATACTTTTAAATTTAGCATTCTAATTGCTGTGCAGTGCTATATATCATTGGTTTTAATTTGCATTTCTCTAATGGCTAATGATGTTGAACATCTTTCCTATTTACCATTTGTATATGCTCTTTGATGAAATGTCTTCTCATGTCTTTTGCCTATATTCTAACTGGATTGTTTGTTTTACTGTTGAGTTGGGAGGTTTCCTTATATTTTCTAGTTATTAGTTCTTTGTCTGATATGTAGTTTGTTTTTAAAGTCAAGTCTAAGAACTCTTTTCCCTAAAAGCCAAATATTTTCCCCTGTTTTTAGAAGTTTTAATAGTTTTATCTTTACATTCAAGTCCCTTATCTATTTTGAGTTAATTTCTGTATAAAATGAGAGAATTAGTTTGAGGTTAAAATTTTGGCATATCATGTACTGCTGTTCCAACACCACTGGTTGAAAATGCTATCTTTCATTTAGTTATTTTTGCACTTTACCAAAAACCAGTTGGGCATATTTGTGACTTTATTTCTGGGTTCTTTATTCTCTTCCATTGATCTATGTGTCTGCTCCTCCACAGTACCACACAATATTGATTACTGTTGCTGTATAAGTCTTGAATAAGGTAGACTGATTACTCCCACTTTATTTTTTCATATTTGTTTTTAGCTATTTTAGTCCCTTTGCTTTCCATATAAATTTATAATAATCTTATCTATATTTATAAGAAATCTTATTGGGATGTCAGTAGGAACTGCTTTCAGCCTGTGTATAAATTTTGAGAAAATTGACATCCTTATTATGTTCAGTGTTCCCAATCCGTGAACAGAGTATGTCTCTCCATTTATTTAGGTCTTCAATTTTTTTCATGAGTATTTGGTTACTCTGATCATATAAATCCTGTGTGTGCTTTGTTCTATATATTCCAAATCTTAGTTTTTTGAGTTGTTGTAAAGATACTCTATTTTTCAATTCAGTTTCCAAGTGTTCACTGCAAGTATATTGAAATACAATTGATTTTGCATGTTTGCCTAGCACATTTGCCTGTGACCTTGCTGAACTCACTTACTAGTTCTAGGAGTTTCTCTGGAATTAATTCTTGTTGATTCTTTGAGATTTTCCGTGTACACAATCATGTTATCTGCAGAGAGAGTATTATTTTCTTCCTTCATAATCTGTATGTCTTACTTCCTTTCCTTGCTCTACTGTACTGGGTAGAACTTCCATGCATATATTGAGTAACTGAGTAGGAGCAGACACTTTGCCTTGCTCAATTAATATATTTTACCATTAACTATAGTGTAGGGTATAGGGTTTTTTGCAGATGGCCATTGTAAAATTGAAGAAGTTCCCCTCTTTTCCTCTAGAGAGCTTTTATCATGACTGGGCATTTAATTTGTGAAGTGTGTTTTCATCAATTAATGCAATCATATGATTTTTCTTCTTTAGTCTATTAATATGGATTAAGTTGATTCATTTTCAAATATTAAACCAGCCTTGAATTTCTGGAAGAAACTCCATTTATTCAAAATGTATAATTCTTTTTATATATTGCTAAATTATATTTACTATTATTTTGTTAAGGATTTTTATATCTATTTTACAAGGATATTTTTCCTATGGTTTTCTTTTATGTATTGTCTTCATCTGATTTTAATATTAGTATTTTTTTAAATTTTGGTATCATCAACATACAATTACATGAGCAACTTGTGGTTTCTAGATTCCCCCCATTATCAAGTCCCAAACACATAACCCATTACAGTCACTGTCCAGCAGCATAGTAAGATGCTATAGAGTCACTACTTCTCTTCTCTGTGCTATACTGCCTTCCCCATGACACCACCTACATTATGTGTGCTAATCATAATGTTCCTTATTCCCCTTCTCCCTCCCTTCCCACCCCACTACCCCAGTCCCTTTCTGTTTAGCTGTTAGTCCATACTTGGGTTCTGTGAGTTGGCTGCTGTTTAGTTCCTTCAGTTTTTCCTTTCTTCTTATGCTCCACAGATGAGTGAAATCACTTGGTACTTCTCTTTCTCCTCCTAGCTTATTTCACTGAGCATAATACCCTCTAGCTTCATCCCTGTTGTTGCAAATGGTAGGATTTGTTCTCTTATGGCTGAATAATACTCCACTGTGTATATGTACCACATCTTCTTTATCCATTCATCTACTGAGGGACATTAAGGTTGCTTCCATTTCTTGGCTATTGTAAATAGTGCTGCAATAAACATAGGGGTGCATGTCTTTTTGAAACTGGGGAATTGCATTCTTAGGGTAAATTCCTAGTAGTGGAATTCCTGGGTCAAATGGTATTTCTATTTTGAGTTTTTTGAGGAACATCCATACTGCTTTCCACAACAGTTGAACTAATTTATATTCCACCAGCAGTGTAGGAGGGTTCCCCTTTCTCCGCATCCTTATCAGCATTTGTTATTCCTTGTCTTTTCTGTGTTGGCCATCCTTACTAGTGTGAGGTGATACCTCATTGTGGTTTTAATTTGCATTTCCCTGATAATTAACGATGCGGAGCATCTTTTCATGGGCCTATTGGCCATCTGAATTTCTTCTTTGGAGAACTCTGTTCATATCCTCCACCCATTTTTTAATAGGGTTATTCACTTTTTAGGTGTTGAAGCATGTGAGTTCTTTATATATTTTGTATGTTAACCCCTTGTTGGATATGTCACTTACAAATATATTCTCCCATACTGTAGAATGTCTTTTTATTCTGCTGATAGTGTCCTTTGCTCTACAGAAGCTTTTTAGCATGGTGTAGTCCGATTTCTTCATTTTTTATTTTGTTTCTCTTGCCCAAGGAGATGCATTTAGGAAAAAGTAGTCATGTTTATATGC